TTTTCACGGTAGCACCCCGACTCGGTTTTCGCAAAGTAAAAAGGTTTTATTTTTCAAAGACTTTGCGAATTATCGCGCAACTCTGATTTTACAGTAAGGTGGGGTGTTACAATTGGTATCAGAGCACGTTTCTGCGTCTCTGATAAAGTTTTCAGTCTGTGATTTTTCAGAAACCCGAACCGTCATGCTCACGCCCCGCCGACGACAGGTAAGTGCTGTTGCAATTCAGTTTTTCAGTTATAAACATATTACTTTGTCTATGCTCAGAATTGAGGATCAGAACTTTAGTTAAGATGCTTTATTCAGATTCAGACCTTAGAGTTTGGACATGACTCTAGAATTCAGGCATTCAGATATGACTCTAGACGTTAGGATCTTCCGAGATGACTCTAGAGTTCTTCAGGTTTCATGTCAGTAATTATCGGCCATTATTGGCAACTCGTCAAGAGATCTGTGTTCCTAGTAATCGGTCAGTAAGGTTATCATGCATACTCAGTAATGTTAAACTTTTCCCGATGTTCAGATACCGCCCCATAGGGAAACCCGATCACTCAGTCTTTATTCAAGCCACAGTAGTCGCACAGTTCCGCGACTATCATGTTGAGAAATTCTTCGGCCGAAGAAATCCCCGTATCAGGGGCAAGTGAATTCAGAACCGTAGAAAAGGATTGAGTTTAAGAGCTTTAGATTCAATTCTAGACTTACTCAAGTCAAGTTAGTAACTTGTCAGAAGATTTGTAAGCATTGTGCTAAACAAATCTTAAGAATCATGTTTCTCAGAAATTTTTATCGAGAACTGCCATTTTGTCAATCAATTGGCAGACTTCAGGGAGAAATTCCGTAAGTTAATTCGAGGAATATACTCAAATTTCCTAAGTCAGATCAGTAAATCATGTTCAAAAGCAAGAATGTTCATGTTAAAGGTTGTTATAGTTCTCAAGTTATTTTTAAGGTAACGGTTTCCAGTGTATAAGAGTCAATAGTCCGGGTTACCATGGAGGCTTGCAATAAGAGCCACTCAGCCGGGTATACCATGGAGGCTTGAAGCTGGGGCCGAATCAGTAAGATTTTAGGTAATAACAACCTTTCAAGTCAGTCATGTCAGATATTTTATCAGTCAGGCTATTTTAAGTTATGACTTTCAGAAGTCAAGATCAGGTAATTACTTTGTACTTGCGGGACCAGTGATACTGGAGCAGCCCTATACAGTACAGGGTTCACGTTCACGATTTACAGTTTATGTTCATGATGTAAGGTCGACGTATAATAGTTGTTCAGCCGGGTAAAATGTGGCGGTCTGAGATACAGACCATTAGTCCAGATTTACCTGGAAACTTGAAGTCGTACCTTATCAAGTCAAGTAAGTCAGTAAATATCATGTTTTCAGTCCCGAAGCGACTATTTAAGTTGTCTCGGGATAGTTTTCAGAGTTCGAACATAGATGATTCAGCCATGTGAAACTCAAGTCATGGTTTTTTCAGCCATGAGAGTGTTCAGGTCAGTCATTACAAGATCGAGGATAGGTTGTCTAATAAGACAAGACTTATCCATCATTTACAGTATATCAGCACCTCGATTCTCAAATTCTGAAGAATCTGAGAAATCGTGGGAGATATTAAGTCATGAGGGACTTCTTCTTGAGGTTAAGATTAACCTCGGAGGGAGTAAAAAAAGTTGCAGGTACCACAGGTTGACATTCACCGCGATGAAGAAAAGCCACTCGACAACAACGGATCGTGCCACGATGATAAACCGACGCTTTCCATTCAAGGATGCCATGTCTGAGTCTCAGTACACGGGGAGATTGCGAAGAAAGTCTTCACCACCAGCATTCCGATTGGAGATCCGCCAGCAGCCAGGAGAGGATGACCAACATATTTCAAGAGTTTCGTTTTGAAACCATGTCTTATCAGTGGAACACTTTCTTTCAAGAAAGTGTCCATTTCCAGTCAGCAGTATTCTACAATTCACTTAATTGTGAATTGATGTATCTCAGTTTAGATCAAGTCTTTTATTCAGTATTAAATTACTGGATTCTCAAGTCATGCAATCAGTAAGTATAAGCTTTAAGTAAAGCTTGTACATTCCAGTTTTATTGTTTCCAAGGAGCTCAAGAAGAGGATAACGACAGCACCGGTGTTGACTATCCCCGATCCTTCTCGGAGTTTCACTATCTTCAGCGATGCTTCGAGACAGGGCTTGGGATGTGTCCTTATGCAGGACAGACAGGTCGTTGCGTATGTTTCACGTCAGCTTAAGCCTCATAAGCAGAACTATCCTACGCACGACTTAGAGTTAGCCGCAGTCGTTCACGCCCTGAAGATCTGGCGTCATTATCTTTAAGGCGGACGCTGCGAGATATTCACAAACCATAAGAGTCTACAGTACATTTTTACACAGAAGGAGCTTAATATGAGGCAGCGCCGTTGGCTCGAATTGGTCAAGGATTATGATTGTTCTATCCAATACCATCCGGGGAAGGCGAACGTCGTCGCAGATGCCCTAAGCCGAAAGGTGACGGGAGACTTGACGTACGTCATTACGCAGCCGAGTCCATTGATTCATGAGTTCGCCCGGATGCAGCTTCAGGCGATTGATGCACTCCCCACAGCTGTCTCGGGGAGCCCTAGTGCCAGTGTCAGTGCTATGCAGCTTCAGCCGACACTGAGAGAAAGAATCCGGCGAGAGCAGGCTTCTGACGAGTTTGTTCGTGTCATGGAGGCCAAGGTTCGCGCCGGAGGCATCCAGGATTTTCAGTTAGGCGCCGATGGTGCCTTGGAGCTCAGAGGCAGGATCGTGGTCCCGAAGGCCGAGGCATTGCGGAAAGAGATTCTATCAGAGGCACATACCGCACCTTATTTGGCCCATCCCGGGAACACGAAGATGTACCACGACCTGAAATGGTCGTTTTGGTGGAGAGGCATGAAGAAGGACGTCGCAGAGTTCGTTAGGCGGTGTCTTACCTGTCAGCAAGTCAAGGCCGAGCATCAGAGTCCAATTGGCCTCCTACAGCCACTGCCGATTCCAAGGTGGAAGTGGGAGGAAGTCACTATGGATTTCGTTACGGGATTACCGAGGTCGGCTGAACATCACGACGCTATCTGGGTCGTGGTCGACAGATTGACCAAGGTAGCGCACTTCTTACCCGTTTCGATGAGGATGTCTCTGGACAAGATGGCTGAGATATATACCCGTGGGATCATCCGACTCCACGGAGTGACCGTCACGATTGTATCAGACAGAGATCCAAGATTCGTCAGTCGATTCTGGCACAGCTTACATGAGGCGATGGGCACCAAGCTTGAGTTCAGTTCAGCCTACCATCCAGAGACAGATGGTCAGTCAGAGCGGACGATTCAGACACTCGAGGATATGCTTCACGCCTTGGTTGTTGACAGGGGTGCCAAGTGGGAGTCACTGTTGCCGTACGCAGAGTTTGCGTATAACAACAGTAATCATTCCTCCATTCAGATGGCTCCTTACGAGGCACTATACGGTCGCAAGTGTCGTTCCCCTCTTTATTGGGACGATATTGGAGAGCGGCGAGTACTCGGTCCTAAGATGATCGAGGAGACAGCAGAGCAGGTCGAGTTGATCCGGCAGAGACTCAAGACAGCTCAGAGTCGACAGAAATCTTCCGCC